GAGGCCCCAGTCCAATAGGGACACACCCCTAGCACAAGTCTGATGGAGGAGGCCCCAGTCCAATAGGGACACACCCCTAGCACAAGAGTGCCACCAGACATAGTCCTTGTTCTTCTCGATGTTTTCTGGTCTCCAGGGACGCCCAGGATTTCAGGACAGACCCAGGCTCTGCCCTCAGGGAAACAGATGCAGACACAATCAGCTCACCAAGCTCTGCAGCCTGAGAGCACAAACTACTGAGGCCCTGAGAAGGTCCAGTATCCAGAAAAGTGATGAAGAATTATTTCCCCCAATAATAGTCTTTCCTCCTCTTTTTCTCCTCCCTGGACACTCTCCTTTTTGTCTTGTTTGGGTGATGGGGTCACCACACCTCCACACCACTTCCTACCTCAAGCACGTTAGGCAAGCACTCTACCACTGAGCCACACCCCTGCCCTTTATTAAGCCACACCTCTGCCCCATTGAATACCTTTTAAATAGCACTCTCCATGGTACTTAATTCTTAAATACCCTACTTTCCACACACAGATTAAGCATGCCACACACACTTAAGCCCCACTGATGAGTCAGCCAACAGATACAGTATTCACTGTTACATCCAACTTTTTGTCATCGGGACTTGACTTTGACATCTGTAGATGTACCAGACAAGTCATGGCTGTGCCAGGATGCATGGGGCCTGCAGACCACAGGCTGGACATGGATGGTAGAGTATCTGGTCTCTATACTTAGAAATGAGATGTGGCACAAGCCTGTAATAGCATGAGGGAGGCTGAGGTAGGGAGATCCAGAGTTTAAGACTAACCTGGGATACCTAGTGAGTTCAGGCTAGCCTGGAAACAAACCTCATCTCTAATCTGTACCTGTAACACCAGGGATGGGCTGGGAGGCACACACACACGTGTGTGTATAACACAGAGAGAGAGAGGGGAGAGGGAGGGAGAGAAAGGAGGGAGAGAGAATAAATAAGAATGAATACATGAATGTGTTCTGTGCCCTTCATAATCCAGTCTGTTGAAGAAAGGGCAGAGCTAGTGATTGGCAGGGCAACTCAGGAGATGAAAGAGGGTACAGTTAAGACCCGGAAGTCCCGTCTGCCCTTGTTTCCAACATGCTTGTCACTATAGCTGAAGCTCTGAGGTCGCCTCTTCCCTTGTCAAGTAAACAGGCCTCAAATTCACCTTGGCTCAGCCCAGGGTTTTGAGAACCTTTTCCCTGCAGAGCAGCAGAGATGGGGATCACCTGGAAGAAGCCTCTTGGGGTCCTGGGTTCATTTGCGCCTTCATTTTCTGTCAATCGGTGAAGGGTAGTTTTGCCAGCCCTCACCCTAACCAGAACGGAACAGGAAGTGGTAAGCGGTTGCCTTGGCAGCCAGGAAGGCTGAAACCAGTGAGCCCCTTGTAGAGTAGCCTCGGGTTGGGAAGGGCCTTTGGGGATTGGTTCCCTTCCAGTCAGAGCGGAGGGACCGGATGTGGCATCAGCGTTCCGAGAAAAACGAAATTTAAAGTGTGCAGACTTGAAACAAGAACCCATACCAGCACCAGTCAGACAAAGGCCAAACAGAGGTCATTTCTGTGAGGAAATGAAGTGTTCATCCTCCACAACTAGGAAACCCATTAGATAAAAGCCAATATAGAGGATACGGCTACATCTTAGCCTGGCTAAGTTCTGCCTGGGGCCAGATATTAGCGGGGGGGACATTCTCACTGGTCTCTGGTAAAGACCTGCCGTTCAGCCCACAAAACATTAAGATAGTGGAGCAAGAAAAAGCAATATGGGGACAGACAGGGAGAAGTGGTCCTTTTCTTCTACCAAATCCCTCCTCTCACCTGAGGCACAGTCCTGTAGCGACAGTAGCAGCAGCAGCAACAGCAGGAATGCAAGAGGCATGGCTCCATCCAGATGCAGTGTCACAGTCACCCCAGGAATCTGAGGTTAGGACCCTGATCTCAGGCATGCCACCTGACCACCCAGGGTTGGATGTCAGGCTCTAAAAAATACAGTTGTCTATTTGGGGGAAGTGAGCCAGTGTGGCACACAATGCCCCAGTAGAGCATATCATAATTGTGGGGAGAGGCCGTGAGGGCGGGGGCTATACGTTTCCGCCCTCCTCCTCAGAACTTCAGGCAGATGTGGCTGCTCCACCCTGTCTTGGGGCCCCTGGGCCAGAGAAAACTCCAGAACCCCACCACCTCTGTGACAGAAAACCTGATCCATCTGGGGTGTCTCCTCATTCCAAGCAGCTGGTCCACACAGGGACATGAAGGAGAGGCTTCTGGAACATTCTGTAGAGACTTTATGGGATCCTCTGGGTTCTGAGATTCAGGAACAGGTGATCTCTGGCAGGCCTTGACGCTCCTTCACGAGGAAGGTCTTTAGTCTGGTAAAATGGATTCCTTCAGTCACTCTGAGCCTCCTCTGTCCAGGCTGATCACAGTTGCAAATAACCTCTCATGGACACATGTGTTGACTTATTTTTGTCATGGGGGAAAAAAGATGCAAATTTTAACACACACACACACACACACACACACACCCTCTCTCCCTCTCCCTCTCTCCCTCTCTCCCTCTCCCTCTCCCTCTCCCTTTCCCTCTCTCTCTCCCCTTTTCCCTTTCCCTCTCTCTCCCCTTTTCCCTTTCCCTCTTCCTCTCCAAGTATTTCCCTGGCTCTGTCCCTCCTGGGTCTAACTCACCCAGCAGCTCTCTCTAGCCTTCCACTGCTCCAAGGCTACCAGACTTCTGGAAGTGAGGTAAGCCTTCCCCTCCCCCACCTCCTTTCAAGTTACCCCGCCCTCAGAGCCCCTCCCTCCCCTTGTTCTTCAGGCTTAGGCAGCATGGAGTACCCAGTTCTGCCTCTTCAACTTCCTCCCCTCAGCCATATCTCTCTTCTGCAGCCACCCGGCTCTAGCTGAAATGACCCAGCATTTGGCTCAAGGCTCCACCCATCCCTCTGTCTTCAAAGAATCAAAAGACTCTACTGCTGTCCAACAGCGGTGCAACCTGCTCTCATGGATTACGGAAGCTCAGGGGACCCCATGATTGTATGGGATGCATACTCTACTTGTTTGGGACACTGGACAGAACGTCCTGCCATTTACACAGTCACAGTCTTAACAGGACTTGAACTCTCAAGTCCCAGGCCAAAGGAATTGTAGCTTTGCTCTCTTCAACTTTCTCACATTATTCATTCATTCATTCATTCATTCATTCTTACCATGTGCTTGCTGTGCATTGCCCTGGACACTATGGGGAAAGGGATGAAGCACTCCTGTCACTGAAAAGGTTCTGGTATGACATTCAACAGGACACTGAGACACGTTATCTTTTGGTATTAATGCTGTGAACAGAAATTCCTGGAAAGATCTGCACCTGATGCTGAACCTTCTACAAGGCTGACTGACGACTGACTGACTGACTGACGACTGACTGACTGGCTAGAATGTCAACTGACACACTCAGGACTCTGCTTTCTGACTGTGAATCCCACGCTGCTCCAAGCTGCACCCACTTTGGCTGCCCCATCAAGATGGACTGTACCCTAAACTGCACTCCCAAACCAATGGAGCCCACTGGCAAGATGGCTCAGCAGGTAAAGGAGCTTGTTGACAAGCCAAAGAACCTGCGTTCTATCCTCAGAGTCTCAGTGTTTGGTTTCAGACCCTGGAACAGACAGCTGAGGTGCATATCTTATACCAAAGCAGACCTGGCCTCCAGGTTCTCCCTCAGTCTCTCCCTGGCACACCCCCACCCTCTACCCAGACCTTACCAGCCAGGGGCTGGGCTGCCCTTCCCCCACAGGCTCTTCCCTATAAAATTCAGTCTTTTTGGTCTCTTTGCCGCCCCCTTTTCTCCTCTCTTCTCTGCAAGTCCTCTTTCTCTTCCCTCATCTCCCTCCCCATGGCAACTTCTCTGGCCTTTCCTCGGGACTAATGAACTTTCCCACCCAAGAGCAGCTTCCCAATAGATGTGCTTTCATACAGTCTAATCTGGCTTGAATTAGTTCATTTCATCAGAGGAGAAATAACTTATCACACATGACGGAAGGAAAGAACTGACTCCAGTGAGGTGTCCTCTGGCTGTCACACACACACAGACACACATGCAGACATACACACACACACACATGCAGACATGTACACACAGACACACATGCAGACATATACACACAGACACACATGCACACGTACACACAGACACAGACACACATACAGATATATACACATGGACACACGTGCACACGTGCGCACACACACACACACGCACATGCACTTACACTTACACTTTGATGAGGTCACCCTGAGGAAAGGTTAGCTTTGCAAAATTCAATTCAAATGAGCAAAGAGAAAGAATGGCTACTTATTAAGACCACGTAGGTACATCTGTTACTATCTGGTTAAATAGACCTGTATTCTTCTTATAATGATGTCTTTAGTTCTCATTCTCACTGTTTTGAGACAAGATTTCATTTACCCCAGGATTAAACCCTCTGTGTTGAAAAGAGTGATCTTGTACTTTAAACAATAAGATTTTTGATCAGGTGTGATGGTATATACATTTAATCTCAGCAAAGAAAAATCAGGCCTCTGTGAGTCCAAGGCTAGCCTGGTCTACATAGTGAAAATCTGTCTCAAAAATAAATAAATAAATAAATATTTTCTAAATCTATATCCATATCTATATATGATGTCTGTGAGTGTTTTGCTTGCATGTTATACATGCACACTGCATTTGTGCCTGGTGTCTGTGGAGGTTAGAAGAAGGCTTTGGGATACCCTGGGCCTGGAGTTACAGATGCTTGTGAGCTACATGGGGGTGCAGGGAATGGAACCCAGATCCTCTACTGAGCCATCTCTCTAACTCTTTAGCTTCATTATTTTTTTTAAAGACTGCCTCAATGACCATGGGGACTTTGGAATGAAGACAGCCCATAGCTGAGTTTTCGTAGCCCTTCCCAATAGCTGCTTCTTGCCCTCCTCAGTATGTGACCTAATTAATATCTTTGTGACCAAAATATATTTGCAATGCACAAATAGATTCTACTCCCCAGCATGGAAAAGGCTAAGAGTGTGGCCAGATAGCATCTGAGGCCTAGACCTAAGACCTCCTTACTTTGCAGAGACTTCCTACCTGCGGTTCTACCACTATATTTCAAAAGTGCCTTGATGTACAGTTTTGCTTGTTATATTACTATAAAACTTCACAGAGTGGCTGGAGAGATAGCTCAGCTACCATGAGCACTTCCTGTTCTTGCCGAGAACCTGGATTTGATTCCCAGCACCCATGTGGCAACTTGCAACCATCTTAACTCCAGTTTCAGGGATCTGGTTCCCTCTTTCTGGCTTCTAAAGGCAGTAGGCACGCATATGATGCTCATACATGTATGATGACAAAACACACACACATGCACTCACACACACACACAATCTTTCTAAAAAAAAAACTGTAAGGAAACATTAACAGGTTAAAACATGTTAAAAACAGATTAAAACAGGTTAAAAATTTGGAGTTACCTAGTCTGTACTCCTAGACAACAATCATTCTTGCTTAGCTCCCAAGTAAATTTGTATTGTACTCTCTGAGGTAAGCAGTGTATTTTTGCACCTAAGGCGCCCTAGACATACAGGCAGACAGCAGCATGGTCAGGATCTGAAGAAAGCTCAGAGGTTCCAAGTTCCACCCATGGTTGGTGAGTACTCATAGTACCTGCTTGCAATTGGGCTGTCTCTTGAGTCAGCTCCGAATGTGGGGACAGGGACAGCACAAATCTACAAAACAAGCTACTTTAACTCTGAAAAACAAAAGAACTTGGTTTCAGAAATTGTTAAAGTTCAACCAAAATGGAGGAGCCGCACAAAATGGCATGGCCCTGGCTAACTCGCCGCTCACCGGAGACAAGTTGTTTTGTTCATTCACACTTTTCCAACATTCTTTCCCAGGACTCACACCCCTGAGTTTAGGAGCTCTCCCCTCCCCGACACACATAGCATCTTCCTCCCTTGTCAGGGGCAGCCTCACTTACACAGTGAAGGCCTAAAATCAGCAGTAGGCCTAAGTCAGCCTGCTAACACAAGGTCTTGGTCTCTGGAAAAACACTGAAACAGATGGCTGTAAGATATTGTAAACAAGTAGCTTTGGTGGAAATTTACCAGCCTGGATAGTCATAGACCTTGTGGATAGGTAACCTTGGTGGATAGTACCAACTTAGATAAAGACAAGTGATTCATAAACAGAGTCATGGTGATCTCTCCCCTGAACCTTCACCCAGCCAATACCCTGTTCTGGAAGATATCTGTACTCCCCCTGAACACCTACACTCCTGTGTCATCCCCTTCCCCACATCCTGCCTTTTTGCGTATATAACCCGTGTGTAAAAAAGTAAAAATTACGATTTGATCAGCCTATAGTCAAGCCGTGGTTCTTTGCATTCTCCTGTTTCCCCCAATCTCTCTTTCAGGCGACCTCCCCAGACCCCTGTTTATTGCCCTGCTGGACGGGGCACTCCCTCCCTTCCATTAAAGCAGTGGTTTCATACATGAGGGTTCACGCTCACCCCTGTGAGAACTTTATCAGCTGAAATCTCTTAGGGACTACTCTAAGTGTGTCCAGCATAGAGTGAGACATGGTAACTCCTGGTGATGGACTTACTGGTGGTTATGAGTCATTCAACTTGGGTGCTGAGAACCAAACTCTGGTCCTCTGCAAGAGAACAGTACACCTTAACTGCTGAGCCGTCTCTCAAGCTCCTGTTTCTTTTCTTTTTTCCAGGTTGGTTTTGTGCACTGTGTATTCAGATGCTGAGTTCTGTGCCACAAGGTAAGGTTGCAGTCTGGACATGGCATTGTATTGACCAATGTGCTGCAGAGAATGCTCCCTAATAATCTCTGATTGGGTAATAGAAGGCTAGAGCCTGTGACTGGGCAGGGGAGAGAGGAAGGTGGGACTTGAGATTGAGTAGGTGTCTTAGTTAAGGTTTTACTGCTGTGAGCAGACACCACGAACAAGGCAACTCTTATAAGGACAACATTTAATTGGGGCTGGCTTACAGGTTCAGAGGTTCAGTCCATTATCATCATGGCAGGATCATGCCAGCATTTAGGCAGGCAGGTGCAGGAGGAGTTGAGAGTTCGATATATTCACCTGAAGGCTGCTAGCAGAATACTGGCTTCCAGGCAGCTAGGATGAGGGTCCACACCCACAGTGGCACACCTACTCCAACAAGGCCACACCTTCTAATACTGCCACTCCCTGGGTCAAGCATATTCAAACCATGACAGTAGGGGTGTCTCAAGTAGAGACCATGAGGAGAAGGATATAGGAGAGAGAAGAAGGTTGCCATGAGAGAGGCTGGACCGTGAGTGAGTGGCCAAGAGAAGCTTGCTCTAGGACACGCATGAAGCAGAGTTAGTCAGGCGGGACTAAAAAAGCAAGTAACACAGGTCTATAGCTGAGATGTAGGTTAGAATAGCTCAGACTCTGTCCTACACAGTGTCAACAGTTTGTAAATAAAGTACCAGGTTTCTGTCTCCTTTATCTGGGAGCCATACAGGCTAGAGTGGGGCAGTGTGGTGGTTTGAATACGCTTGGCCCAGGCAGTGGCACTATTAGATGTGACCTTGTTGCAGTAGGCGTGGCCTTTGCAGTAGATGTGGCCTTGTTGGAGAAAGAGTACCACAGTTGGGGAGGGTTTTGAGACCCATCTCCTCTCAGCTCCTCCCCAGCCATGCCTGCCTGGATGCTGCCATGCT